AGCCTGTCCTATCCAGACAGGCCTGCCTACCCTCTTTCTTGTGTATGCTGTTCCCAGGTTCTGCCTGGTGCTCAGGACCCAGAGAGCATGACCTCAGGGCAGAAGGAACTGGCCCTGAGAACACACCTGGATCTAACTTCTGTTACTGAACATGACTTCTGTCTGGACCCAGGAAATGCATTTTTTTGTCCACCGGTACTCGGTGCCTTATTGGGGTGGGGGTGCCCCGTGTGTGACTTCTGTTTTCACAGATTGTGACCAGCTCAACAGCAGCCTGGGGTTGGTATGATGGGGGTGGGGGGGACACACACAGAAATACAAACAGTACAAACAGCACATTGACCTCTGCTGGGAAAGGGACACACTTGGCTCCTGTGAATTGACTGTTGAGGTCTGTTCGTCCAGGACCCCATCTGTCCAGGCAGCCATCACAGCCCTTGCTCCACGCCGGGTTCAAGGCAGCCAGCGGCACCAAGCCCCCCCACCAAACCTATGTGTACGGTCGGATGTTGTCCACATCCTGTGCCTTTGTGGGTTTTTTCTGTTTTCCCATGATTCTTTTTTAAATATGATTTTATTTAGGTTCCCCTTCAACACTTTGTACACATGTTCCCTGACAGGGGCTCCATCCTGCACAATGTGTGAGCATGGCCATTGCATCTGGGGCTCCGTGGCCCTTAGCCCAACTTTCCGGCTCCCTTACAGTCTCCTCTTTGTTTTAGACTCATGGTGAACTGCTTGGTCTCAAGAGGCGATTTTTTAAGGGAGCGTGGTACATAGGAGAATGTAGTGAGTGTTTATAAGGAGCTCAAGTGGTGCAGTGGACGAAGCATCGGGCTGCTAACTGAAAGCTGGTGGCCAGGCTCTGAGGGATAAGAGTGTGGCTTTTGTAAGCATTTACAGCCCTGGAACCCTTCTGGAGCAGTTAGTTCTCTGTCCCCTCGGGGTCGCTGTAAGTGAGGACAGCCTTCAGGACAGTGGACGTGGGTGTGGTCAGCGCTTCACGGGAGCTCACCTTCTTCTCTCTCTCTGCCCTTGGCCAGGTCTACATCCGGATAAAGGACGATGAATGGAACGTCTACCGGCGCTACACGGAGTTCAGGAGTTTGCACCACAAGCTACAGACCAAGTACCCTCAAGTGAGGGCCTACAACTTCCCGCCCAAAAAGGCCATTGGAAACAAGGTAGCACCACGGCCCGTGCCAACGTCTGGCACAGCTGCTCCTCTCTTCTCTCAGTCTCTCTTCTCTCAAGTGACATGGGAGCATGGGGCCCGCCACGTGAAGACAGCTGTGTGACGTTTTGTTTGTGGTTTCCCCAGGGCTAAGCTTGGACACAGGTGAACATTCTAGGTCCTGAGGAAACTCCTCACCACTGAGCGAGGCTGCGCTCCTGGAGACTTCTGGGCGCTGTGGTCGTAGTGTGGAAAGCCCTGCCCTGGACCACCTGTCTTGGGGTTCCCCCTAATTCCATCCACAGTTGGCATGCTGTGTGTTTTAGCCATTTGAATGTGGAGTCATTTCCCAGGATGCCGCGCTCTGAGAAGAAGCTCTCTCACGAGAGGTTGTTCCGTGACCTGTGGTATCCAGTTCCCCATTAACAGGAACACCCCAGGTCGGGGCCTTGGGCTGACAGGAATGGATTCCTCACAGTTTTGGAGGCCAGAAGTCCGAATTCAGAGCAAGGCTTTCTCCTATTTGGGCTCTGGGGTAGGTCCTGTCTCTTCTGGCTTCCCACCTCACTCTCTCTTTTGCTGGTTTAATCTCTTTTAAGTCTCAAAAGAGATCAATTTAAGGCACAGCCTGGACTTAACCTGCCTCATTCACATAACAAAGACAGCCCATTCCCAAATTATAACCCCTGCCATTCGGTCCATGTCAGCTCATAGTAAAGCCATACGGAGTCACTGGGCCTTACACTCCCAGACTGAATCTGTATGGGAGCCAGCAACCTAGTCTTCCTCCCTGGGAGCGGCTAGTGAGTTTGAACTGCCCACTAAGTGGTCAGCAGCCCCCATGGCTCCTTCACCACAGCCATGGAGATTAGGACTCCCAACATATATTTGGAGTGACATAATTCAACCTGTGTCATGTCCCTCCATCCATACCCCCCTCCCCATGTGCTGCTCGGGGCACTCTTGGCCCCTCACAGGCACTTAGTGCCTGTGACTGCGCAAGGTGCTCCAGCCAGCTGCCATCATGGGTCTCCATCCCGTCACCCTACTTGTGCACCCACTTGGGCTGCACACTGTAATCACCTGGGGAGTTTGCAAATACTGTGCTGTGTGCCCTGGTGGTGCTATGGGTTAAGCATCGGGCTGCTGACCACCCGTTGGTTTGGCGGTTCAAACCTACTAACTGCTCCACAGGAGAACAATGAGGCTGTCCACCTCCAGAACAAGTTACTGTCTCAGAAACCTTGTATAGGATTGACCCGATGGCAGTGGGTTGGGTTGGGTTTGAGTCCCAGCCCCTGGCGTCCAGATTCAGAGGTTTTCACAGATGCAAGGTGACTCTAGTAAGTGGCTGCGTTAGAGCAGATTGACTAGAGAAACAAATCCAGGGGCACTCATAGATGTATAAGAAAGAGCTTTATATCAAAGCGTAATTGTATGTCAAGAAAATATCCCAGCCCAGTCCAGATCAAGTCCATAAGTCTGATTGATATTAGCCCATAAGTCCGATACTAGCTCATAAATCTCTCTTCAGACGTATGCAGCCACATGCAATGATGTAGAATGCAGGAAGATCACAGGCCAGTGGAAGGATCACAGGGCTGCCTCCACAGGTCTCCACTGCATGGCTCACTCGGGTCTCAGTGTGGCTCCACATGTCTTGTCAACAGGAAGGTGAAGCAGAGAGAGAGAGTGACCTGCCTCTAGGGAGAAAGAGAGGAAGTTCCCAGAATCCTCATCAGAAGGCCACGCCCACAAGAAGACATCCATCAAGCTATGACCTGACTGACAGGCTAGACTCCACACCTACATTTACACATCAGGAACACATGAAATTATGTAACTACCACTGTGCCCAACATGGAGCTGAGACGCCTGGGTAGATTCTGTCTATGCCTGAACTGTCCAGGGATGGTTCAGTGAGGTGCAGGCAAGGCACCTCACTCCTCAGGATGGGGAGAGGGTTTCATGCAAAGATGGGTTCATGTACACAAGGTTTCCTCTTTGACCAGCAGGTCAGTCAGTGTCACCCTGGAGATTACTTATAAATGCACATTTTTGAGTCTCACCCTGACTTGCTGTCCCAGAAATGGGGGTGGGCAAAACAAAGCCAAGGGTGATGCTGATGCCCATTGCCCTACTGCACTGAGAGAATTCATAACTCGGATCACAGCCATCAAAGCTATTCAGACTCGTAGCCACCCTCTGAGACAGAGTAGAACTTCCTCTGTGGGTTTCCAAGACTGCAAATCAAAATAAGAGCAGAAAGCCTCTTTTTTCTCCTGCTGAGTGACTGGTGGTTTCAAACGGCTAACCTGGTGCTTAGCAGCCCAGTCCATAGCCCACTATGCCACCAGGGATCCTGCACTGAGCAAAACCAAAACCAAACTCACGGCCATCCAGGCGATGCTGACTCACAGTGACTCTGTAGCACAGAGTAAAACTCATCCCTGTGTTTCTGAAACTGCGTAGTGACTGATGGTCTTGAACCTGACAGATCCAGCCCAGTGCATAACGGCCATGCCACCAGAGCCCCTCTTGCAGAGGTCCTTCCATCGGATATCTTTTGTGATCCTTTCCTTATAAAACCAGGACAATAGTTCCGGCCCACCCCACCCCCAACATTCCAGAATCCCACAGGGAAACACCTACCACAGACCAGGATGATGAATTGTTGTTCATAGTGTTGTAAGTAGAAACCAGATTAGTGGTCTGATCACATCAGGATCTGCTGGACTTTCATTTAAGCTGTTACAAAGCAGGTTGAACACAGGCCTGGCCCCATCTGCACTTCACTTTTCCATGGATGAAAAATGGATTTGAACCCTTACATGTGGCCAACTTAGACATGCTGCACTGGTTCATAGTCAGGGTTGAGTCATTCGCTGAAATTATTGTAGACTAATGACTTCTCTTATAAAAAAAAAACCCTCCAAATTTACTACCATCGAGTTGATGCTGGCTTATAGAAACCCAGAGTAGAACTGCTTTGGTGAGTTTCTGAGACTGTAACTCTACTGGAGAAGAAAGCCTCATCTTTCTCCCAGTGGCTTCTGGACCCATGCAAAGCCATCTAGAGTACCTTTAATGTCATTTTAAAATATCCTGCTTAAGCAACGTACAGGAGTTCCCGACTTTTGATGGGGCTCCATTGGTGTGTTTTTTTTTAAATCATTTTATTGGGAGCTCTTATAGATATTATAACCATCCGTAATTTAGTTAGCTCAAGCACAATTTTACAATTGCTACCGCCATCAGTTTCAAAAAAAATTTCTTTCTTGAACTAATTGATATCAGCTACCCTTTATCCTCTCCCTCCCCTCCCCCTAGGAACCCTTATTATTATACATTATTATTATTTGCCTTCTTACAACATCCCATGTGTCCATTCACCTGCAATTCTGTTATTCGTTCCCCTCGAGTGGGGTTACCCAGTCATCATTGCTATCAGCTCCCCCTCCCTCTCTTCACCCCCCATTCCCATACCCTCAAAGAATCATTACTCCTGTTACAGTTTCTGAAGGGTTATCTATCTTAGCTTTCATGCATCAAACACTCTTAATTATACAAATGAACATATGCAGTTCTAACAAGAGTAATGAGGTAAAACAAAGACCATAACAGTAAGGGGAGAAAATATTAAAGAACTAGAGGACAGTTATGTGTTTATTCAATGCTATACCGCTCCCTAGATTTATCATTCTTTCCATGTGGCCCTTCTGTGAGGGTGGGTTTTGGCTCTCCACTTTGTCCACACTCCTTTGTGTCAACTTTATTGCTTGTTTTTGAACTTCTGATACCTATCCTCATCAACACCTCATGATCACACAGGCTGGTATGCTTCTTCCATGTGGGTTTTGTTGCTTCCCTGCTAGTTGACCGCTTGTTTAACTTCAACCTTTTAAGACCCCAGACACTATATCTTTTAATAACAGAGCACCATCAGCTTTCTTCACCACATTTGCTTATGCACCCATTTGTCTTCAGCAATCATGTCAGGAAGGTGAGTATCACAGAATGCCAAGTTATTAGAACAAAGTGTTCTTGTACTGAGGTAAGATTTAAGTAAAGGCCCGAAGTCCATCTGCTTCCTTGTTGTATATACCATATATATACATACATAGACAACTACACCTATCTTTACATATTTACATATATACATATCAATATTTATACCTATATATGTAATTTTTACTTTCTTCACCTTTCCTCTTTTTTTCCTCTTTCCTCCTGCCCCAATATCATGTTGACCCATTGTTCACTTCTCAGCAGTTCCTCTCGGATACATTTCAATTGATCAAACATGACCAGGAATGCTACACCCTCCTCACCATCAGTTTTAGAACCCTGGCTATTCCCCTGTCCCTATTGTTATTGGCTCACTGCTCCCTACCCCCATCTCCTCCCTTCCCATTCACCACCCCCCTCAGAACCATCGGTCCCTTTTTTGTCTCCTTGGGATTGCTTATCCTGTCTATCCTAACCACCAAAAGGGAAAAAAAGAAAGGCCATGCAAATAGTTCCAAGTCTGACGGGTTGGACCCGTCATAATCCACCAGTCCAGTCCCCCTTTTCTTTCAGGGACCTGTTTACCTGACAGCACGTATACCCATTTAGTCCTCAGCGTTCATGGCTGAGAGGCGAGCCTCCTGCAAGTCCCCACTGTGCTTCCTGCAGTCAGGGATGGAGCAGTCTGGTGCCCCACCCCCACCTCATCACACCTTTAGATTTTCAGTGTGGCCCCCTTGTGAGTCTCCCCAGCCAGCTCATATGAGGTGCCAACTGCTCCCCTCCCAGCCCCCACCCCAAGTCAGAAGTCTGCAATCGGGATTCCTCAGGGACTCCGTGGCGTTGCTCCCATTGCTGGTCTGTTTGACCGGTCACTCTTCCCCAACTGTGTCTTCAGCGCTGTCCTCTAGGGAGGGGATGTCATGTCTTGAGTTGAGGCTGGCCCTGCAGTCATCTCTGAGAACGAGCTGCTCTGAGCAGGTCCTCCAGAGTTGGCGCACC